GAGCCACCTGACATGACTCTCTTGGAGGCGGGCAGTTAGCACGGGCTTCCTCCCCAGGTGTTCCCACCCCCGCCCACTGGCTCCAAATCCAACATTCGCCCTAGCCGTGGCATCATTCTCCGCCCAGATAATGGGTTTGATGTTCACTAAGACATTTTTTCCAATACTGAGAGGCAGACCTTCCCCACCAGATGAACTGATCAGCTTAGAGCTCTGTTAAAGCAGCTGCCCCCAGTCCCTTTAGACTCTAAAGTTTAGAGTGACACAAACTGCCACCTGAAGGCAGCAAAGCACTGTGACAGTCACAAGAACAAATTCCTTTGCCAGGCTGGCTGGGTTCAAACCCCAGCTCTGCCAACGAGTGACCTGAAGCGGATATATGATCTCTCTGTACTCAGTTTCCTCTTCTGTAAAATGGAGACTAATAATGCTACTGTAAAATTATAAAAAACATATATATACTAGAGGCCCAGTGCACAAATTCCTGTACAGGTGGCGTCTGGCCAGCCTGGCCACAATCGGGGCTGATTGGGGCCAGGCCTGTTGGGAGGAGGAGACTGCTGGAGGTTGGCCAGAGGGCCTGCACCGATTGGGTCCTGATCACGGCTGGGCCAGCTGGAGGGAGGGGCCAAGGGCAATTGGTGGGTGGGGCCCCCCACAATTGGTGTGTGTGGGGGCCAATCAGGGGCAGAGCTGGCTGGTGGAGGGGCCATGGGCCGATGGGGGTGGTGGGGGCCTGTTGGGGGTGGGGCGGCTGGGGGGAGGTGCTGCAGGAGGTTGGCTGGAGGGCCCCACCCCCTGATTGGCTGGTTTGCTGGCCACAGTGGGCATCATACTGATTAGTCATTACAGCGTTCTGGTCACTGGTTTTTTATATATATAGATATTGGGCTGTTCCTACTCCTATTTAGTCTTTGACCCTGGTTCCTGACACAGAGCTCCTAAAACCCTTGGCATTTCCTGGACAGTAAGAGCAGTTTCTGACCTAATGAGATGACTCCTGGTGGGCTCCTTCCTACATGAGGGCTGGTTACCAGAAAGACCCGCTATGAAAAGGGGCTGAGCAGAAGTTTGACGCTTTCAGCTCTACTTCCTATCCTTTGGAGGGAGGAGAGGGGCTGGACAATGAGTTAATGACCGATCCTGCCTATGTGATGAGGCATCCATAAAAGTCCCTACAGTGTGGGATTTCGATGGCTTCCGGGCTGGTGCACACATCCACCTACCGGGAGAGTAACCCACCCCAACTCCACGGAAGGTCCTGCACTGGCTACCTCTTCATCCGGCCGCTCATCGGTGTCCTTTATCATATCCTTTATAATAAGCTGGTCAACACAAGTGTTTCCCTGAGCTCTGTGAGCCTATCTAGCAAATTACTGAACCCAAGGAGGGGTTGGGGGAACCCCAATTTATAGTGAGCCACCAGTGACAGCCTGGGACTTGTGCCTGGCATGTGAAGTGGGGGCAGACGGGCGCGCGGAGCCCTTAACCTGTGGGATCCGATGCTAACTCCAGGTAGACAGTGTCAAAACGGAATTGAATTGTAGGACACCCAGCCGGTGTCAGGGAATTGGTTAACGTGGGGAGAAAAATTACACATCTGGGGCAGGAAGTATTGTGAGTATGAGTAAGGAAAGGAGTAAAGGAAAACTGTGCGTCTAGCATCTATTCCAGAGGTTCCTGTGAAAAGTCAAAGAGTTAATATAACCAAAGTGCCAAACGTGTCCCAGAGAGCATGGCTCATGCTACGTAAATATTTGCCAGCATAATTTGAAATAGGATGATAGTAAAAGATATTGAAAAGATGTTTCCAAACTGAGTTAAGCAGGATAAGCCCAGCAATGACCTTGTGACAAGGCAGGGATGTTTTTATGGAAATTGGCAGAAAGAGAGGCACTGTTTTGCCTCCGAACAGGCTTGGAGTGGTCCCCAACAGCTCTCCAGTCTGGGGGGTGTCTGGCACGGAGGCCGTACACAGAGCCTCCAAGCACTTGTGCGAAGAGGAACCGTGGGGATGAGCCATTGAGGAGCTCTCCTGGAGGAGCAGGAAGCTTCGCTCTGCCTCTTTTTGGAGACTGCGTTCTCCCAGCTATGAAAGGGGCTGACAAAAGTCGCCCTGCCCCAAGGGGGAGGCATGGAAGCTCCATAAACGGAAGCTCTGTACAGAGGGAAAGTCTTTCTTTGTGATGACAGCTCCGTTCCAGCGGCTCACGAGGAAACTGCAGGATCTGACCACCTGGAGTCCTGCGCGGAGGCTTTCTCAGTCCAGGCTGCCTCCGTTAATGCTTCCTCCGGAGAGGAACCTGCCTGCCAGGGAGCCCTGCCCTCCTGAGAAAGGCCACACGGCCTCTGTGCCCGCCACCCTCCCACTTCCCGTTTCTCTCCCCTGGGAGTAGAAAGAAACAGCCTGTAGGGCACCCTCTCGATGAAGGGTGAAGGTGTGACCTTGGACACGACTCTTACTCTTTCTGTTCCTCCGTTTCCATGACTCTGATTAGGAAGAATAGACCAGTTCCTTCGCTGCCTTCATTGCAGGTGGGCGTGGTCCAAATGGGAGGGGCATTCTCCAGGAGTCGAGCCCTGTGTGAATACCTGTGTCCCTGTTACAACCATGCTGTAGTCTGTAAGATCCACCCTTTCCTGGGATTCCTTCTTTATTCCCCTTTCATTTAGAACAAACATGTGCTTTGCGTCAGAGCTGGGCCTGTGTTGTGTGTCACAGCTAGCAGCTGCAAAAGTCCGCAGTTCCTGTTCTGGCCAAGGTCATGGCCAAGACCCTGCAGGAGTCCTGGGGCCCCCACTCCTTTTAGGACCCTTTCACCAGAGTCTCTGGGTTTTGCCCACATCAGATATGATTCTCCCCCAGCCCCAGGTGTGGTCTCTGCAGCGCTCCCAGAGGGCGAGACCCTGTGGCACCTAGTTGAAGTCACCTTCAGGATATTCCCAGAAATCAACCCTATCCAGCATCTGCCCCACCGCTGTCATGGTCCACGCCATGACCACCTCTCACCTGGATTTCTGCTGGGACCTCCTAACTGGCCTCCCTGCTTTCACCCTGGCCCCTTCGGTCTGTTCTCAACACCACAGCCAGAAGGGTGGTTGAAAATGACAACCAAAGCACATTATTAATCTGCTCAAGCTCTTCCCACGGACTCCCATCTTACAGAGTAAAAGCCGCACGCCTCGCAGCTGCCTACAAAGCCCCTCTCTGCAATTCTCCACTTCAGCTGTCTGCTGGGATCACCTGAGAACTATAAACAATATGGACACTGAGTACCACCTCTGGAAATACTCATCATTGGTCTGGGTGAGCTCCGCCATCAGGAGTATTTTAAAGCTCCCAGATGAGTCCAACGTGCAGCCACGATTGAGAACCACTGCCCTCCTTAATCTGTTGCCCCTCCAGCCCCATCTCCACCTCCAGCCTTTTTGCTTGCTCTGTTCCAGCCACATGAGCTTCCTTCCTCTCCTTCAAACATGCCAAGCACACATCTACCTCAGGACCTTTGCACTTGCTGGTCTCTCTGCCTAGAAAGTTTTCCCTCCAGGTGTTCACATGACTTGCTTCTTCATCTCTAGGTCGTTGCTCAAATGTCACCATCTCAGTGAGGCCTTCTCTGACCACATCATTAAAACTTCAACCCCTTCTCCTATTCCAGCCTGGCCCTGTCTCTCTTTCCCACTTTATGTTTCTCCGTAGCATTTACTGCCATCTAACATGCCACATAGCTGACTTCTTGGTTTTGTTTATTATCTCTCTTCCCCCAACTGGAATGCAAGCTCCAGGAGGGCAAGGATTCCTATCTGTTTTGTTCACTGCTCTATCCCTGTGCCTAGACTCGGAAGTGCTCAATAAACATCCTTTAAGTCAGTGGTTCTCAACCTTCCTAATGCTGCAACCCTTTAATACAGTTCCTCATGTTGTGGTGACCCCCAACCATAAAATTATTTTAGTTGCTACTTCATAACTGTAATTTTGCTACTGTTAGGAATCGTAATGTCAATAACTGATATGCAGGATGTATTTTCATTGTTACAGATTGAACATAATTAAAGCATAGTGATTCATCACAAAAACAATATGTAATTATGTTTGTGTTTTTCGATGGTCTTAGGCGGCCCCTGTGAAAGGGTCGTTCGACCCCCAAAGGGTCGCGACCCACAGGTTGAGAACCGCTGCTCTAAGGGAACATATACTCCTCTTTCCTCATAGGTCCTCAGCTGCCTTTGCATCCCTAGAACCCGGCCAGATTCTCCCTGGGCCAGGAAAAACCTTACAAAATCACACTGCACACAGCAGCTGCTCAATAAGTGTCCACTGAATTCAACTGAACTCTCTCCCCCAAAAGAACATAGTCTCCAAACCCAGCAGCAAGATCTTTCCCAAAAACTCTAGCGATAAGCTCACGGTGGTTTGCAGCTTTAAGACCATTTTTAAAATAAGGAGAAAGAGGGGGAAAGAAGGTGTGGGGCGAGCTCACCGAAGTTAATGAGATTTTCTGAGCTGTGGTACGTGCCCACATTTTTAATAATTAGGAGCAATAAAAATTCTAACTGAACCTTAAAGGAACATCTTCTGTAACAAAGAGAGAAGTCAAGACAGACTTCTCTGTTGGGTGTAATGACTTGTTAGCCCTGGAAGATGGATGTACTTTAAAAAACTAATTTATAGAAAAACATAATTGTTCGTAAAAATGCAACAATTAGGTTAAAATTACGTATTAAGCGGAATGCTAGATGATTCCAGTGCCCTTAAGGAGTAAATTAGGTGATTAACCCTCAAAATCTCAAATGGAAGAAAGCCTCCCCCCTGCTTAGCAGAAGGAGAAACTGAGGCTGAGGAAGGAGGAAGGGGAGAGTGACCTGCCCAATGCTGGCCAAAGGGACGGAAGCAGGGGAGGGACACAGGAGTCCACATGCCCAGGCCTGGCTCCGTCCCAGCACTGTGCTGCCCCCGTCCCCCACAGGTCAATGAGAGCCCAGCCACTGACTCTGCTCACCCACTGGGTCTGAGGTCAGGCAGGGGCCGGTCGAGGGGCAGGCGGTCACTGAGATAGGCGTTGTAGCCGTAGTACTGGAACTGCTTCAGGGCCATGCGCCGGCCTTCGGGGCTGAGCTCCTGGCCCCAGTGTGCAAACAGAGAGGAGTCTGTGAAGGGCTCAGCCTCCGCCTCCTCAGGCTTAGCGGGAGCCTCTGGAGAAAAAAGGAATAAGGAGACAGTGGGTCAGAGTGCACCCCTGCATATGCCACGACAACCCCTTTCCCTTCCTCACCCTTTCTTTGGGTAAACTATCTTAGTGTCATCTTTGGGAGACTGGAATCTTCATGCTTCCTCAAACTCATTTATCCGTCTATCCATTCATTCCTCCACCCACTATTCACTAGGCACAAGGGATATAGAAATATACCCATCAGGGTCTACTGGGAGGCTGATGGATGTGACCCTGATGCCCCATGGCTTCCAACTGGAACCCCTCCTTTCCCAGTCTGCTTCCCTGCCAGACATGCGACTCCAGCACTAGAACGGGTTTCTGCTTCTCTTTCCCCAGATTGTATCCCCCCTCCCTGCCAGCCCTAAGCCTGCCCCACACCCAGGTCCCCTAGTTGAGGGTCTGCTCCCTTGCCTGGTTCTCACCAGCCCACCTCCCTCTCCGCTGTCTGGTCCCGCTGTGAGTTGCCTGGCCCTCCCACATGACATTCACCTGGCTACAAGGACCCCCAGCCAGACTGCCTCCTGCTGCTTCCAGACTCTGCCCACCATCTATGGCACTGGGGATGGCCAATCCACCCTCAGTGCCCCACGCTCTGGCACTGCTCACGGGGCCCCTGGTAGACTTTGTGGGGGGCAGTCCCCACACCAGGTCATGGTTTGCATGTAACATTCCAAGAAAATGGAGGAGGCATTATTACCTATAAGAGCAGAGGTTTTGAATTCACATAGACACGGATTCAAATAAAACCCTGCTCCACCACTCCCTGCCACAGGCCACAAGCAAACACTCGGCCTCTCTATGCCTGGACTTTCCCACCTGTAATGCAGGAATAATAACACCCACCCACCTGCCCCTGGGATCTGTGAGGATTACATAAAATAACGAACACAAAGCACTTAGGCCAGCAGATGGCTCAGAATAAGTGCACAATAAGTGGTAATTAAGGGTGCTATAGCAAGGGGAACCTGGCCGGTCATTTAAATTCCTCTTTCATGGGGGTAACAGGTAGGTCTTGCCAGGACATAAGCTGATGGGTCGGAACTTTGAAATTCATCCCAAGGGGCAGGTAGTCAGATTAAACCATTCAAGGTCAGAAATCAGAGAAACTGGACAGAGATGTCTTCTATGCTCAGAAGCAGATGTAAGTAAGAGAGAGAGAGAGAGCCAGGAGCCGGAATGAGACTGGCCAGAAAGAAGAGGAAGCAAGTTAGGAACAGCAGAGGCAGGCTGGGGACACTTGCCAATGTCCGCTCAGGTGTCCACATAGAGCCAGCAGGTGCATGGCACAACTATGCCAGGTAACTTAAAAGTACAGGCTGGAGAGAGGCAAGGGGCTAGGATTTCAGGGTCTTCGAGGATGGGTATATCATCTTGGTTACCAGTTAGCCTTACAGAAGGAAACCCGGGTACATTAACTAGATTAGGACATAGTAAGGAGTAAAATGCAAACTGTGGGTGCATTTCTATGACAAAGCAAGCATCTTTAGTGTGGTGGCTGCTCAGAGCTCCACCCCAGAAGTCAGGGAGCACCTGCTCTCCCCTACCAGGCATTTTTGAAGAGAAGTCCAGGGCTGGCGTGATCTTGAAGGCCCTTGTTATCTCTAAAATGATGTATGACTCAGTCATTTGGAATGGCGGGTAGTAAAAACCTAAATCAGTGAACCAATTGAATCATATAATATTTAACAGGAATGGCATTTTACTGCTCTCACAGACCTAAATGGATATTACCTAGTAAAATGAGATCAGTTCATGGAAAATTACGATTCTCAATTAGGCCTGTGTTGTGTAATATTGCATTATAAACATATTAAAGTCCTGAGTCCGATCCCATGCTTCTACCTTTTTACTCAGTATGGATGCAAATGTTAGCAAACTTGAAAGCAGTGGGTCCTGAATGATGAGGTGGGGACAAGATAACATATGTCTTGTTCCCTGAGATGGCATGGCTCCCAGTACAGTGTGTAGCTCTTTCAAGAGACTCAATACATCATATGAAAATAAATTAATGAGTAGTACCCCATAGTGGTTAGTTAGTAGACATGAGGAAACCAACAATGAAAAGGTTAAATGACTAATCCAAGGTCACCTAGGTGTGTTTGATAAGAAAGGTCTGGCTTCCTCCAGACCCCACATTTTCCTCTGCACCATGAGTGGCAAACCATGGTGCAAGGGTCATATCTGGCCCACCACCTGTTTTATAAATAAAGCTTTATTAGAACATAGTCTCAGAGCTACAAGGGCAGAGTTGAGTAGATGCAACAGAGGCCATCTGGCCTGCAAAGTATAAAATACTATCTGGCCCTTTAAGTGTGCTGTCTCCTGCTCTACACCTTACATTTGACATCTCTTGCCTCTGCTAACTCCATCTCTTTTCCTTTCCTTTCCAAGGACTGGTTAAGAGCACTGGCTACAGAGACAGAATCCTGGATTTTGTACTCCAGCTCTACCACGTACCAGTTTAGTCCAGCTTATCTTACACCTCAGTTTCCTCATCTGTAAAATGGGGTTGATAATAACAGTTCCTTCTTCCTAGATCATTTGTGCATATTCAAGAGATGGTCCCTGTAAGGAGCCCAGCATGGTGCCTAGAACATAATGTTAGCTCAACAAATGTTGCTGCTAAGGCCCCAGGAAGCCTCACAGCCCCGCCCGGGTGCTTTTCCACCAACACCTCTTGTGTTCAGATGGGGAAGATGGCCCTGCCTTGAGGTCCTGACTCTGAAAGCTGCTGCTGCTGTCTAGTCCCCAGATGAAGGGTCTCTGTGTCCAAAGATAAGTGGCCTGCATTTAACCCGTCCTAGATTGACTCCCTTCCCTCTCCAGTAATCAGACCTACTTGGTCGTCAGCAAAGGAGGGGCATCTTTAACATGCCGAGGTGGTAAAGGCACCTCAGGCAAGTGCCCCGCTGGGTCCTCTGCAGGCCTGGGGGTGTCTGGACACCTGTGGAGTAGGGCCAGACCCATGGCTATCTCTCCTCCTAGGAGCGGACTCTGGCTGTGGCCCCCTTCTGGGGTTCAGACCTATTTGGGCACACCTGACCAAGGGTGACTCCAGAGAAGCGTATATCCAGGGGGCTGAGGGCTGTCCAAGGCTGAGGTCATTTATGGCAGACATTGAGCAGGGCACAATGAACTCAGCTCATAGCTGAGCCAGAGAGTTTGAGGGGTTCTGAGTATAAAGGGGAGGCTGTCATCCCAGCCCATTCTGCACCAGCCATGCCCTTGTCTGGGTCCTAGGGACAAACAGACAGAGAGGGAAAACTGAATGGCCATTTCCCCAGACAGCCACCCGTGGATCTCAAGTGGCACGTGTAACACACAGGCAGAGAGGAATTCCTCCGCCTACTCTGACTCACCATGAGCCACGTGGGGTGGGCAGGAGGGGAGCCCCAGCTGGGCTGAGGAGACCCACAGGCTGGGGGGGACACCACCATGCTAGGCCCCTCTCTGTGAAGGCCTGTCTGATGGCCGTCTGTCTCCCTCGGCATGAAAGACAGAGACTCTTCTAATGCCTTCAAGGCCCCTGGTGATGCGGACCCCACAGCCCGCAGAGCTCACCTCCTCCCATGGCCCCCTTGGCGCCTCTCACCTCAGTGCCTTTGGTGCTTCCCACTTCCCTCTACACCTCGTGCTGACACCCCTCATGTCTTTACTCCAAAGCCACTTGCCCGGCAAGCCTTCCCTAAACATTCAATCCTCTCTCACCTGCCTATGTACTTTTCTATTTATCTTGCTTGTTTCCCTACTAGAATGTGAGCTCCAGGAGGTCAGAGATTTGCTTTGTTCTCCCTGGACCCCCAGTGCTTACACAGTGCCTGGCACCTGGCTGGCAGCAGGTCATGGCGGGGTCAGTAACTCTCTTGTCTGCTAGCCGCCCCCCCTCCCCGAAACCCTCCAGAGGGAGCTGCAGGGCACCGGTGCTGTGTCAGCAGTGGGACCACAAAGCCGGGGAAGGTGTGGCCAGGACAAACTCCCATCTAGTTCACGTAAGCAAAGTCACCCAAGACGAACAGTAGGGTCTTAGGAGCTTCTCAGGCAGTTCCATAGAATGTGATCAACGGTAAACAACCGCCACCCCTCACTGCGCATGACCTGCTTTCCAGAAAGTTCTGCCAGTGCTCACATGAGGCATCTGAAAAGGCCACAATATGATCTCAGAGATACGCCCCATTGGCCGGGCCTGACTCAGAGCCCAGGATGAGAGCTGAGAATTACAGTACAGGTCCGACAGCCTCCAGGCTAATTCCTGGAGACAGGAGGGAAGTGGGGCAGGAAATCAGCTCGGGAAGCTTCGAGCAATTCATGTAACAAAAGCCGAAGCTCTAAGCGCTGTCCACGGGCTCACCAGCCAGGCCTGAGAAGCACATCTGGACATCCTGCCAAGCCACTGATGCAGAAAGCGGGAAGGATACCTGCATGAGGTGGCTGCTTCAGTGAGCAGCCCAGATGAGGGCTCACCCGGCTGCTTTTGCTCCAGGTTCTTGGCGGTGCTGAGACTGTGCAATGGAGCAGATAGGAAATGGGTTTGGGAGTGAAGCAGACACTGTAATGCTGCCTAGCCCTGTCCGCTTCCAACCGCCTGTCCTCTCCTGGACCGCGTTCCTGGAGATGCCCATCTTTGGAAGCTGACCCATTGCCAGCTCCTGCCATGCACTTCAGTGACAGCTCTGAGGTGCCGGTGGCTTTTGGAAGGGCTGCAGGGGAGGTTGTAGCCCAGATCTCTTCCTGAGCAAGAGGCCAGCACCTTCTCTGCTCCTTGGATTTTAGGATGAATCCTAAAAAGCAATAGAAGGTAACATTGCATGGTTGCTGCTGCAGGTCAATGTGGTTTGGGGCACCCACCTCAGGGTTGGACCGAGGACTGGTCGAGCCCGGCCAAGGGGGCAGACAGAAACCCCTGGGACACAGCTCGAATATCCCTGAGCCAGTGCCCAAGCCGGACCCTGCACTCATGGGAAGTGGCAGCTCTGCCTCTGG